CTAAGTCTCTTTGTAAGTCATTAAGAACTTGCCTTATGTATCTGGGTGTTCCTGTATTGGGTCCATATATGTTTAGGATCGTTAGCTCTTCTTGTTGTATCGATCCTTTTACCATTATGTAATGGCCTTCTTTGTCTCTTTTGATCTTTGTTGCTTTAGAGTCTATTTTATCAGAGATGAGAATTGCAACTCCTGCTTTCTTTTGCTCTCCATTTGCTTGGTAAATCTTCCTCCATCCCTTTATTTTTAGCCTTTGTGTATCCTTGCATGTGAGATGGGTTTCCTGGATACAGCACACTGATGGGTTTTGGCTTTTTATCCAATTTGCCAGTCTGTGTCTTTTGATTGGTGCATTTAGTCCATTTACATTTAGGGTTAATATTGTTATGTGTGAATTTGATACTGCCATTTTGCTGCTAGCTGGCTGTTTTGCCCGTTAGTTGTTTTAGATTCTTCATTATGTTGATGCTCTTGTTGTTTTAGATTCTTCATTATGTTGATGCTCTTTAGCATTTAGTGTGATTTTGGAATGGCTGGTACTGGTTGTTCCTTTCTATGTGTAGTGCCTCTTTCAGGAGCTCTTGTAAAGCAGGCCTGGTGGTGACAAAATCTCTGAGTACTTGCTTGTTTGCAAAGGATTTTATTTTTCCTTCACTTCTGAAGCTCAGTTTGGCTGGATTTGAAATTCTGGGTTGAAAGTTCTTTTCTTTAAGGATGTTGAATATTGGCCCCCACTCTCTTCTGGCTTGTAGGGTTTCTGCTGAGAGATCTGCTGTGAGTCTGATGGGCTTCCCTTTGTGGGTGACCCGACCTTTCTCTCTGGCTGCACTTAGTATTTTCTCCTTTATTTCAACCTTGTTGAATCTGACGATTATGTGCCTTGGGGTTGCTCTTCTTGTGGAATATCTTTGTGGTATTCTCTGTATTTCCTGCATTTGAGTGTTGGCCTGTCTTGCTAGGTGGGGGAAATTTTCCTGGATAATGTCCTGAAGAGTATTTTTCAGCTTGGATTCATTCTCTTCATTACCTTCTGGTACACCTATCAAACGTAGGTTAGGTCTCTTCACATAGTCCCGCATTTCTTGGAGACTTTGTTCATTCCTTTTTGCACTTTTTTCTCTGATCTTGGTTTCTCATTTTATTTCATTGAGTTGATTTTCGACTTCTGATATTCTTTCTTCTGCTTGGTCAATTTGGCTGTTGAAACTTGTGCATGCTTCGCGAAGTTCTCGTATTGTGTTTTTCAGCTCCTTTAATTCATTCATATTCCTCTCTAAGTTATCCATTCTTGTTATCATTTCCTTGAATCTTTTTTGAAATCTTTTTTCAAGGTTCTTAGTTTCTTTGCATTGATTTAAAACATGTTATTTTAGCTCACAAAAGTTTCTCATTATCCACCTTCTGAAGTCTAATTCCATCATTTTGTCACAGTCACTCTCCGTCCAGCTTTGTTCCCTTGCTGGTGAGGAGTTTTGGTCCTTTCTAGGAGGCGAGGTGTTCTGGTTTTGGGTGTTTTCCTCCTTTTTGTGCTGGTTTCTTCCCATCTTTGTGGATTTATCCACCTGTCGTCTGTGTATTGATGACTTTTCGATTGGGTCTCTGAGTGGATGCCCAGATTGTTGATGATGAAGTATTTCTGTTACGTGGTTTTCCTTCTACCAGTCTAGCTGCTCCACTGTACGACTGCTGATGTCCACTCCAGGCCCTGCTTGTCTGGGGTGCACCTATAGCAGCTGCGGAACAGTGAGGGATGCTACCAGTTTCTTTTTCTGCTATCTTTGTCCCAGAATGATGCCTGCCAAATGTCAGTCTTTTGGATATAGAGGGGTCAGGGAGCTGCTTGAGGAGACAGTCTGTACTTTATAGGAGCTCAAGTGCTGAGCTGTGAGCTCTGTTGTTCATTCAGTGCTGTTAGGCTTCTACGTTTAATTCTGCTGCAACAGAACTCATTAAAAAACCCCTTTTTTCTCAGATGCTCTGTCTTGGGGAGGGGGTTGGGGCTTACTTTGTGAATGTCCGTTGTGCTGTCCTGCCCAGCTAGGAGGCAGTCTAGTCACTATTTGCCTGCCGAGGCTCCGCCCTGCTGGTGTGAAGTTCGCCCTGTTGCTGCAGGCTCTGCCTGCTGCTGCGGTCTCCGCCCTGCAGCGGAGTCTCTCTGTGGTAGTGGGTTGCCTTGGCAACGGCAGGCTGCGTCAGCAATGGGCGTGTACCTCAGTAGGGGCGGATTGCCTCGGTAATGGCGGACGCCCCTCCCGCACGGAGCTGCACCATCCTGGGTTCAGCTGTGCCCTCAGGGAACCTCTCCACCAGGAGCGTTTGGAATCGCCATTTTGTTTGTCCCACTGCGCTACCCCAAACGCTGTTTCCCTGGAATCTCCTGGGCTGGCTCACTGTCCAAGTCCCATTCGGTCTCAAGTTCAGCCCTCTCAAGTCTCAGATTGCCGGTTCAACAGGGCACCCAGACCAGTGAGCTTTGTGCGGAGCGCTGTGTAGCACCACTGAGCTACAGTGCCGGCCGCTGGCCGCACCAGCTGCTGGCTGCACCAGCCAAAACCTCTGCCTGGCGTCCCACGTCTCTTTTATACCTGGGAATTTCCCCGTTCTGTGGGCAACAAAGATCCGTCTGGAAATGTGGCCCTGACTCACCCTCTCCGTGCATTCACTGAGAGCTTCAATCCTGGGTTGTTCTCACCGTGCCATCTTGAGTCCCCCCTCTTTTAACCTGCTTAAAGATCTAGTCTGTTGGTAATAAAGTCTCTAAAATTTTGTATGTCTGAAAATATTTTTATCTAACTACAGTTTTGAGAGGTATTTTGCTTAGTATAGAATTCTGACAGTTTAATTTTCTTTTGATCATTGTGAAGCTATTGCGCTACTGTCTTCTGGCTTGCATTACTTCTGACGATGACTGCTGTCATTCTTACATTTGTCCTCTGCATATAATCTGTCTTTTTCTATGATTGCTTTTAAGATGTTCTCTTTACCACTGATTAAAGCAACTGTATTATAATGTGCCTTGGTCTAGCTAACTTCATGTTTCTTCTGCTTAAGTTTTGTTGAGATTCTTGAATCTATGATTTTGTAGAATTTTTTAAATCAAGTATGGAAAAATTTTGATTTTTTTTCATATTTTTTCTGCCCATTGCTTCTTTTCCTGAGATTCCAATTATACATATATTAGGCCACTTGAAGTTCCAAAGCTCACTGATACTTTGCTTATTTATTTATTTTTTTCTTTTTTCTTTTTGTTAATGTCTATTGCTATGGTATCAAGTTTACTAACATTTTCTACTGCAAGTTCTAGTCTGCTTTAATTCCATCTAATATATTTAAAATTTGTTTTAATTTTTGAAATAATTTTAGATTGGCAGAAGAGTTCTAAAGATATGACACAGATTTCTTGTATAACTTTAAACCAACTTCTCCTAATGTGAACATCTTATATAGTCATGATATGTTTATCAAAACTCAGAAATTAGCAGTGGCACAACGAAACATAATTGGTATTAAACTACAGGCATTATTCAAATTTTCCCAGTTTTCCCACAAATATCCTTTTTCTGTTCCTGGATACAATCCCGGATATGTCACATTCATCCGTTTAATTCTTTTTATTTCAACAATTGTATTTTTTATCTTTAAAAGTTTTATTTGGGTCTTTTAAAATCTTCTATGTCTTTCTTTAATATGAGAGGCTTGCTTTTAACAATATGCCATGTCTTATAGATATATGTATGTATGTATCTATATCTCTATCTATCTATCTATTTTTTTGAGATGGAGTTTCACTCTTGTTGCCCAGGCTGGAGTGCAGTGGCACAATCTTGACTCACTGCAACCTTTGCCTCCTGAGTTCAAGCAATTCTCCTGCCTCAACCTCCCAAGTAGCTGGAACTACAGGCATGCACTACCACCACCAGCTAATTTTTGTATTTATAGTAGAGACAGGGTTTCACCATGCTGGTCAGGCTGCTCTTGAACTCCCAACCTCAGGTGATCCACCTGCCTCAGCCTCCCAAAGTGCTAGGATTACAGGCGTGAGTCACCACATCCGGCTGTAGATATTTTTATATAATTGTTTCTTTAAAAGTTATATGTAATATTCTATTGTATGAATATATTATAGTTTATTTGAGAATTTCCTGTTGTTGGACATTTAAGTTATATCTAATGTTTTCTTTTGCTATGCAAACAATGCTGCAAAAATATCATTTTACATGACTATTTGGTACATGTACAAATACTTCTCTATGATAGCTATCTTGACAGGGAGTTATTGGTTCAAAGGTATTTTTATTTAAATTGTTGAAAGATGCCCTAAATTGCCCTCAGAAATGTCTTAATTTAAATATCCACCAAGAATACAACAGTATCAATTTCTCCATACCTTGACTGATGCTGGGTGTTATCAGTCTTTTACTTTTTATTTTAAAAATTAAATTAAATTAAATCAAACTTTGAAAGAAATGGAGTCTTGCCCTGTTGCCCAGGCTGTAGCAGTGGTGCAATCATAGCTCACTGTAACCTTGAACTCCTGGGCACAAGCGATCTGCTCATCTCAGCTTCCTGAGTAAGTAGGACTACAGGTGCATGGCAGCCCACTCTGATGATTATTTTAATTTTTTTTGTAGAGATAGAGTCTTATTATTTGCCTAGGCTGGTCTTGAACTCCTGGTCTCCAGGTGATTCTCCCCCCTCAGCCTCCTAAAGTGCTGGGATTACAGGCTTGAGCCACCTCATGTGGCCTCAGTCTTTTAAATTTTGCATTATAATGGATGAAAAAGGATATCTTGCTGTTGTTACACTTCTCTGACCACTAAAAATGTTAAGAATAATACTATTTGTTATTTTTTGCTATTAAAATTTTTCTTCTGTTGATTGTCTCTTCATATTTTATACTCATTTTTAAAATTTTGAAAATATTGATTTCTACAAGTCCCTTATATATTCTCTATAGTATTTATTTGCCTGTTCTATCTGTGGCAAACATTTTATGTCAGTTGCCTTTTTTATTTGTGTATGATACCTTTTGTTATATAGAAATTTAAATATTTGGGGTAGCTAATTTATTTTTCATTTTTGTCTCTTGCATTATATCTCCAAGGTTTTAAATACATTCTCCTTACTGTATTTTCTTCTAATAATTTAAAAGTTTTGTCGGGCGTGGTGGCTCACACCTATAATCCCAGCACTTTGTGAGGCTGAGGCAGGTGGATCACGAGGTCAAGAGATTGAGACCATCCTGGTCAACATGGTGAAACCCGTCTCTACTAAAAATACAAAAAATTAGCTGGGCATGGTGGCGTGTGCCTGTAGTCCCAGCTACTCAGGAGGCTGAGGGAGGAGAATTGCCTGAACCCAGGAGGCGGAGGTTGCGGTGAGCCGAGATCGCGCCATTGCACTCCAGTCTGGGTAACAAGAGTGAAACTCCATCTCAAAAAATAATAATAAAAGTTTTACTTTTCAATTTAAATTTTATTTCATCTAGAATTTACTTATTGAGTGAGTGAGGTAGGGTGAGTAAGCTTATTTACTTGCCACAATAAAATTTATTATAAAGGTCATTCTTTTCTCATTGATTTAAAAGTCTCTTTCTGACCCAGTGTTGTGTTCTAAAGAAATTTTATTGTCTCTTGCTGTCCTCATGTCACACTGTTTTAATTACTGTAGGTTTGTAGTCATTTATATCTTTATGTTGATATCTGCTAGGCCAAATCCTCTCTTACCAGCCTTTTACAATCATTTCTTGGCTATTCTTGCATATTTTCTTTTCCAGATAAATTTTGCAATCAGCTTGCCACATTTCATAAAAATTCTCCTAGGATTTTGCTTTTAATGTATTGACTAATTTTGGACAGAATTGACATCACTACAGTTTTCTTATCCAAGAACATTGTTTTTTGTCTCTCCAATCCAGGTCTTTTACTTTGTCCTGACCATATGGCTCCTCTCCGTTTAATATGTTAATAAAATGATTTATATTAATGTATTTTTTCCCTGATGTTGAATTATCTTTGTATTTCTGGGATAAACCCTTCTTTTTTTTTATTCTTGTCATGGCTACTGAATTGATTTCAGATGAGCTGATGTGCTTTGGCTCCTGGGCTCCCTCTGGTGGCCATCAGGCCCTTCTCTGTGACCTTTGAGGATGGGGTTTGGTACAGTTGTCTAATCCTGGACTCCAGGGCTCAGGCCCAGGCATTTCCCTATGGCAGCAAGATCATAGATCTAAGAATCTGGTAGGCATAGAATCTGTGTGCCCGAGTTATATGACCATCTGTATTGCCTCGTTGGGTTCTGTTAGCGTCTCTTTGCTAGGAGACCCTGAGGAAAGAGACCATATCTGTGTTAAAAGAATCTACTCTCTCAGAATCCAAAAGTCCATTCACTCATCTGTCCCTTTCTCTAAGATTTATCATTATTTCATTTTAAATGAGGGAAAACTCTCAAATACAGTTTCACTTTTATGAATCTGGATGGCTTTTTTTTAATATCAGTAAACTTATAAATCAGAAACTTATGTCCCAAATTTGGTCTAAAAAGTAAGATCTTGCATCTCTGGTATTTTGATAGAGATTGCATTTAATTTGTAGGTCACTTTGGTAGTATGGCCATTTTCACAATATTAATTCTTTCCATCCATGAGCATGAGGTGTTTTCTATTTTTTGTGTGTGCTCTTCTGTTTCTTTCATCAATGTTTAATAGTTTTCCTTGCAGAGCTCTTTTATCTTCTTAGCTAAATTTATTCCTAGGTATTTTAGAAAATAAATTCCTAACAGTACTGAAAAGCAAGAGAAAGTGCTACCAGCCAACAAGAAATGTTCAGGAATTCCTGAAAAATGGTAAGCAGATGAGATTGAATTGTTGGAAGAAACCACAGCCAAAGGAAGGGACTACTGCAGTAAGGGGAGTGGTTCTGGAGGCATTCTTAGTTCACAGGCAACTGCTACAAGGAAAAGAAGAAAGGACCTGAGGCAACCATCATGCTGACTGATTAGGGATCCTAACTTGCTGTGGGCAGGCTGAGGCAGTGAGCATCAGAGATATTTGCCCTTAAGTGGAGTCAGTCACTGCCAATGCTTGAACTTGAAACTCAGAGAAATCTCTGAAGGAATGAGGAGCACAGACAATATCCTCCCATTATAATTTCTGGAGACAGTAAATGGAAACCACATCCAGAGACAGACCAATATGGAATATGGAATCTTAACTAAAAAGAGAAGCCTGCCAATAAGGATAAGCATACGCTGCATTTGAATGAAAGCTCTGAAAGATGGCGGCGGCCAGGGCTGAGGCTCGAGGAGCTTGGTGTGTGCCTTGCCTAGTTTAACTTGTTACTGTTCAGGAATTATGTAGAAAAGAAGAGCTCACATGTAAATTGATTGGAATCACCAAAGGGAATCTAAACAACTATGAGGTGGAATACCTGTGTGACTACAAGGTAGTAAAGGATATGGAATATTATCTTGTAAAATGGAAAGGATGGCCAGATTCTACAAATACTTGGGAACCTTTGGAAAATCTCAAGTGTCCATTACTGCTTTAGCAATTCTCTAATGACAAGCATAATTATTTATCTCAGGTGAAGAAAGGCAAAGCAGTAACTCCAAAAGACAATAACAAAACTTTGAAACTTGCCATTGCCGTGTAGTGAAGAAGGCTAAACAAAGGATAGCTCTGCAGAGGTGGCAAGATGAACTCAACAGAAGGCAGAATCAGAAAGGACCGATATTTGTTGAAAATACTGTTGATTTAGAAGGCCCACCTTCAGAATTTTACTACCTTAATAAATACAAACCATCTCCTGGAATCAGCTTAGTCAATGAAGCTACCTTTGGTTGTTCATGCAGATTGCTTCTTTGAAAAATGTTGTCCTGCTGAAGTTGGAGTTCTTTTGGCTTATAATAAAAACCAACAAATTAAAATCCCACCTGGTAATCCCATCTATAAATGCAACTCAAGGTGTCAGTGAGGACCTGATTGTCCCAGTAGGATTGTACAAAAAGGCACATGGTATTCGCTTTGCATCTTTTGAACTAGCAATGGTTGTGGCTGGGATGTAAAGACCCTTGCGAAGATTAAAAGAATGAGTTTTGGCCGGGCGCGGTGGCTCACGCCTATAATCCCAGCACTTTGGGAGGCCGAGGCGGGTGGATCACGAGGTCAATAGATCGAGACCATCTTGGTCAAGGTGAAACCCCGTCTCTACTAAAAACACAAAAATTAGCTGGGCATGGTGGCGCGCGCCTGTAGTCCCAGCTACTTGGGAGGTTGAAACAGGAGAATTGCTTGAACCCAGGAGGCAGAGGTTGCAGTGAGCCGAGATCGTGCCATTGCACTCTAGCCTGGGTAACAAGAGTGAAACTCCATCTCAAAAAAAAAAAAGAATGAGTTTTGTCCTGGAATAAGTTGGAGAGGTACTCACAAGTGAAGAAGCTGAAAAACGGGGACAGTTATGTGACAACAAGGGAATCACGTATCTCTTTGATCTGGACTATCAATCTGATGAATTCACAGTGGATGCGGCTCCATACGGCAATGTATCTCATTTTGTGAATCACAGCTGTGACTGAATCTTCAGGTGTTCAATGTTTACACTGATAACCTCAATACTTGTCTTCCCCGAATAGCACTGTTTTCTACGAGAACCATAAATGCTGGAGAAGAGCTGACCTTTGATTATCAAAATGAAAGATTTTGGAGATACATCTTCAGATTCTGTTGACCACAATCCAGCCAAAAAGAGGGTCAGAACTGTATGTAAATGTGGAGCTGTGACTTGCAAAAATTACTTCAACTGAATTTTCAGGAAATAGAGCTGATGATACCTACAATTTTTTTTGCTAATGTTAACATTTAAAAAAATACACATTTGGGACTCTTATTATCAAGATTGTACCTATGTTAATTTACAATTCATGTTTCAAGACATTTGCCAAATGTATTACTGATGCCTCTGAAGAGAGGGTCACTGGGTCTCATAGACTTGTTTGAAATCTACATATTTAGTGCTTAGAGACCAAACTAATGGAAGGCAAACTATTCACAGCTCAGTATGTGTGTACCTACGTCTATGTAAACAGAGAAATGCCTCCCGCAGTGTTCGAAAGTGTTAAGCTGATAATGTAATTAACAATTACTGAGAGATCAAACATTCAACTTGTCATACACCTCAAATTTGGAGAAGTAGAGTTAATTTGGGCAAATCTACCAGTTCTGTTTTTGCTACTATATTGTCACTCCTGTTTAAGACTCACTGTACTTATATTTGAGACAAACGGGTGATACTGAATTTTATGCTCTATTTTCTACCTTTTCATTAAAACATTGGCATCTTAATGATATAGAAATTTAATATGTAAAATTAAATGTAAACATTTCAGCTTCATTTCATATTTTGAAGCAATCTAGACTGTTGTGATGAGTGTATGTCTGAACCTCAAATTCTTAAAAGACTTCTTAATCTTCTAGAATAAAAATCTCCAAAGAGTTCTCTCTAGAAGTCCAGAATGGCTGCCATTCTGCTTCTTTGAAAGGACAGGATAGTGGGACCAGGACGTTTTATTTTGAGTACCAAGCAAGGGAAATGGAGCACTTTAAGGGCGCCTCTTAGTAACAGGAATTAGGAAATCTGTTTCAAGTACCTCTGGTCTAAACAGTAAAACAAGCTGCCTGGAGCGCAGCTGTACCTAATGATACTGTAATGTACGTTAACATCACATCCTCTCAATTTCAGGCAGGTGTAACAGTTCCTTTCCACCAGATTTAAGTATTTTTATATTTCCTGCTGGCTGTTAAAAAGTAATATATTTTTGAACTGATACTTGTTTTATACATGAATTTTTTTTAGATGTGATGAAGCTAAACTTGGCCAAAATGTGTGTTTGAATTATGAGACCTTTTTATTAGTTGACCTATGAAGACTAAAACAGGATATATTAGTTTTCAAGGGGGTGGGAGGGTTCCAGCATAGTATCAAATCTTAATCAGGAAAAATTATGCTTTCGTGTATGACTCTGAGATTTCTAATCGTGCTGTCAAAAATGAAGATAAATGCAACAAATAAACCTAGCTTTCAGTATTCCTAATTTCTACCTAAGCTCTCAGCTCACCGCAACCTCCGCCTCCTGGGTTCAAGCAATTCTCCTGCCTCAGCCTCCCGAGTAGCTGGGACTACAGGCGCGCACCACCATGCCCAGCTAATTTTTGTATTTTTAGCAGAGACGGGGGTTTCACCGTGTTGACCAAGATGGTCTCGATCTCTTGACCTCGTGATCCACCCGCCTCGGCCTCCCAAAGTGCTGGGATTATACCCATTCTTATCTGAGCTTTTTGTTTTTTCTACTTGGAAAACTCCTGCACCCTGACCCCTGACCCCACGTATGTACATGACTGACTCTTCATACAGACCTCTGTTCAACAGCCATCACATCAGGCTGGGCGCAGTGGTTCATCCCTATAATCTCAGCACTTTAGGAGGCCAAGGCTGATATATCACTTGAGGTCAGGAGTTCGAGACCAGCCTGGCCAACATGGTGAAACCCATCTCTACTAAAAATACAAAAATTAGCCAGGCGTATTGGCGCACATTTGTTATTTTTGGAATAGCTGTTTTATATGTTTTAATGTTATTGTAAATGGGATCATTTTAGAAATAACGTTTTTAGTGTTTATTGTTGTTATATTGGAAGGTAATTAATTTTTGTTTATTGATTTTTAAGGCCTGGAATATTGCTACACTATCACATTAAGAGTAGTAATTTATGTATAGTTTATTTTGAATATTCTTATAGACAAACATCATTTGCAAATAATGACGGTTTTGTTTCTTCTTTTTCAATCCTTATTCCTTTTTACGTATTTATTATGCTTCTGTGCTGGCTAAGACCTTTGAGAATAATGTTGAAAAGAAGTAAGAGCAGCCATCTTTGTCTTGTTCTCTTGGTTTTTTTGTGTGTTGGTTTTTGAGATGGAGTCTCTGTTGACAGAGACCTTGGCAATGGCACGATCTCGGCTCACTTCAACCTCCGCCTCCTGGGTTCAAGCGATTCTCCTGCCTCAGCCTCTCGAGTAGCTGGGACTACAGGCATGTGCCACCATACTTGGCTAATTTTTGTATTTTTAGTAGAGATGGGGTTTCACCATGTTGGCCAGGCTGGTCTCGAATTCTCAGCATCAGGTGATCTGCCCACTTCAGCCTCCTAAAGTGCTGGGATTACAGGTTTGTCTTGCTCTTGATCTTTAATGCTTTCAAGTATCTTTTTTTGACACAGGGTCTTGCTCTGTCACCCAGGGTGGAGTACAGTGGAATGATCATGGTTCACTGCAGATTTGATTTCCTGGTCTCAAGTGATCCTCTTGAAGAGCAGCAGGGACTACAGACACACACTATCAAGTGTGTGTATATTGGTATATCTTTCTGATGAAAATGTGCTAATTAAAAAAAAAGTTTTTGTTAGAGACAGGGTCTCACCATATTGTACAATTCAAGACTGGTCGCAGTGGGTCACACCTGTAATCCCAGCACTTCGGGAGACTGAGGTGGGCAGATCACCTGAGATCAGGAGTTCAAGGCCAGCCTGGCCAACATGGTGAAACCCTGTTTCTACGAAAAACACAAAAATTAGCAGGGCATGGTATGGATGTCTATAATCCTAGCTACTCAGGAGGCTGAGGTGGGGAATAATATTTCATTGTATGGCTATACTACATTTTATCTATCCATCAGTTGATGGGTATTTGGGGTGTGTCCACCTTTCAGTGATTACAAATAGTGCTGCTATAGATATTTGTGTACAAGTTCTTATGTAAAATCGGTTTTCATTTCTCTGGGGTGTATATCTAGTAGTGGAATTGCTGGTCATGTGGTAACTCTATGTTTAACCTTTTGAGGAATTGCCAGGATGTTTTCCAAAGCAGCTGCACACTTTTTCATCCTCACCAGGAGAGTATGAGGTTTCTGACTTGTCCACATCCTTGTCAATACTTATTATTCCCTGACTTTTTGATTTTAGTCATTCCAATGGGTGTGAAGTGGTATCTCATTGTGGTTTTGATTTATGATTTATGACTTAATGACATTGAACATCTTTTCATGTGCTTTTTGGTCATTTTTATATCTTCTTTGAAGAAATGTCTATTCAAATCCATTGCTTATTTTTAAGTCGGGTTGTTTGTCTTCTTATTAATGAGTTGTAAGAGTTACTTATATATCCTATATATAAGTCCCCTATCAGATATATTATTTGCCAATATTTTCTTCCATTCTTTGGATTGTCTTCTCACTTCCTTTTTTTTGGAGACAGAGTCTTGGGCTGTTGCCCAGGCTGGAGTGCGGTGGCTCGATCTTGGCTCACTGCAATTTCCACCTCCCAGGTTCAAGCAATTCACATACCTCAGCCTCCCAAGTAACTGGGATTACAAGCGTCCACCACCATGCCTGGGTAATTTTTGTATTTTTAGTAGAGACGGGGTTTCACCATGTTGTCCAGGCTAGTCTTGAGCTCCTGACCTCAGGCGATCCACCTGCTTTGGCCTCCCAAATAATCCCTCCCTGGGATCACAGACGTAAGCCACCATGCCTGGCCTCTTCTTACTTCTTAATGGTGTAGTTGGAGCACAAAACTTTATTTTTAATGAAGTCCAATTTGTCTAGTTTTTCTTTTATTGCTGTGTGTTTGGTATCATATTTAAGATTCCATTGCCAAAGTCAAGATCATAAAGATTTATGCTTGCTCAGGAGCTTGAGACCACCCAGGTCAACATGATGAAACCCCATCTCTACTAAAAATACAAAAAAATTAACAGGGTGTGGTGGCACGCGCCTCTAGTGCCAGCTACTTGGGAGGCTGAGGCAGGAGAATCGCGTGAGCCCCAGAGGTGAAGGTTGCAGTGAGCCGAGATCACACCACTGTACTCCAGCTTGGGCTACGGAGTGAGACTCTCTCAAACAAACAATCAACAACAACAACAAAAAGATTTATGCTTATGTTTTATTCCCAGAATTTTAGTTTTAGCTATTACATTTAGATCTTTGATCTATTTTTGTATTTGGTGTGTGGTAAGTGTCCAGTTTTACTCTTTGCATTTGGATATCCAGTTGTTCAAGCACCATTTGTTAAAACACTATTCTTTTTCATTAAATGTTCTTAGGATCTGCTTCTAATTTTTTGAAAAGTTTGTGAAAAATTCATATTAATTCTTTAAATATTTGGTAAAATTCACCAGTGAAGCTATCTAGACCTGTGCTTTTCTTTGTAGGGTAGTTTTGAAAATTACTAATCTAGTCTCTTTATTGGTCTATTAGAATTTTTTATTTATTCTTGAGTCAGTTTTGGTAATTTCTGCCTTCCTAGAAAGTTGTTGATTTCATCTGAGTTATCTAATTTTTTTTGGCACACAATTGTTATAGTGTTTTTTTATAATTCTTTTTATATCTGTTAGATTGGTAGCAATGTCTTTCATTTCTTGTTCTAGTAATTTGAGTCTTTTCTCTTTTTCTTCTTGGTTAATCTAGGTAAAGATTTGAAATTTAATTTTTACAAATATCCAACTTGGCCAAGCATGGTGGCTCACACCTATAATTCCAGCACTTTGGGAGGCCGAGGCAGGTGGATCACCTGAGGTCAGGAGTTCAAGAACAGCCTAAAAAAAATACAAAAATTAGCTGGACGTGGTGGTGTGGGCTATAGTCCCAGCTACTCAGGAGGTTGAGGTGAGAGGATCACTTGAGCCTGGGAGGTGGAGGTTGCAGTAAACCGAGATCGTGCCATTTCATTCCAGCCTGGGAGCCTGGGTGACAGAGTAAGACCCTGCCTTTAAAAAAAAAAAAAAAAGTCCAACTTGTGGTTTTATTGATTTTCTCTATTGTTTTTCTATTCTCTATTTCATTAATTTCTACTCAGTGTTTATCATTTCCTTTCTTCCTCTTGCCATATCTTTTCATTTGTTTTAAAATTTCTGAGATATCTGTAGTGATATCCTTTAAAAAATTTTTGTGTTTTTACAATTTGTTTCTTTTTTTCTTGTCTCTTCTCTTTTCTTTTCTTTTCTTCCTTTTGAGACAGGGTCTTGCTCTCTCAGGCTGTAGTGTAGTGGCATGATCATAGTTCACTGCAACCTCAAACTCTTGAGTTCAAATGATCTTCCTGCCCCAGCCTCCCTAGTAGCTGAGACAGCAGGCAGCTGGCACCATGCCCAGCTAATTAAAAAAGTTAAAAAAAAATTTTTTTTGTGTGTGTGAAGATGGGGTGTCACTATCTTGCCCAGGCTGGTCTTGAACTCCTAGGCTCAAGTGATTCTCCCACCTCTACCTCCCAAGATGCTGGTATAATTGG